GGGGAACCCGGGGCATAACGGAACGGCGCACAGTGGGGCGAAACCTCTAAAAATCGGTCAATGGACGGAAAAAAAAAGTTGTATAAATTTCTAATTGAAGCATATTTTCTTATTTTTTACACTTTTAGTCATGTAAAAATATATTTACAACATTAATTTCTATTGGTATTTATACTAATAATATTTTTAATTAAAGCCGATCGATCCACACGTTGAAACGCTGATCGCAGCATGACATCCAAAAAGACGCGTGACGCTTAGCAACGCAAGAATCAACAGCTTAGCTCGACGAGATACCTTAGTAGTCCATCTATTCGTCGCAACAATAATCAAGTATTTTTAATACGTTTGTTTGTTTAATTATGTGTCTTATTAGATTACTTCCGTAATATTGTTTGCCATCTCTTTCTCGCAAGAGAAAAACTTGAATTGAAACATTATTATTATATATGTGGCAATGCAACCCACTATCTAAAATAAAAATAAAGAATGTAACCAATGCATATTCCAGCAATCATTTAGTAATAAAAATAATAATTATAACTATTAACAAATGTATCATATGACCAATCACTTACCTCAGCGAAAAGTTTTGCATCCACAGTGAGACCTTTTGCACCAAATGTGTTATTGCAATGAAGTATTTGCAAAGAAAATAGTTGTAACTGCAATCGGGAAACATTAAATTTATGATGTAAAAATATAATTACATATCTGATAAATTTGATATGTCAGAAATCATTTAAATGTATAATACATGGTGTTTTTTGCATTAATATAATTTAAAAGAAATATGAATGATTAATATTTTACATCATAGTACAGTACCTCATATTTGATTTGCTCATTAGTGGTGATGTTAAACACATCGTGAATGGACACGCTCATTTGCTGAGTCTGATTTTTGCCCGTCTCGCAGGCCCATACTATCAATGTGATTTTTATAGTACTATATAACAGGTATATAACAAAGCTTGTGTGATGCAATACACTTCTTGGCACATCAATAGTCAAAAGATACAGGCAGAACAGTATGTAGTAATACAAAGTAACGGTGACAGTGGAGAAGACCAAGAGAACTGTAGCAAGAAGATGCAAACTGAAAGTCATGTTTAGCATCTGTACTGTATCACTGATTGCGAGATGTTCCTTCTTCAGAGCTTTGAGCTCCATGATCAGAAACTGATTTCTCTGGTCATGATAGTTCAATCTAGAGATATGTGACTCATTATTTTCTATGACACTTTTCATGTTTGTCAGATTGTCATTAATTCTTTTAAAACACGCCTTTAATATGCAAACGCAATTCATATATAGAACATATCCACCAGAAACACCACTAAATCGGTATATATTAGATAGAAGTAATCTAGAGTCAATGCAAATTGGATTGTAGGAAAGAACAATGCAGGCACAACTACTAGAAAACCGATGATATCCTTAGTATGAATCAGTTTAGATAACTTCTCATATGATTCCACTGGTAGTCTTGAAGAAATCATCAATATAGTCTGAAAGAATCGTAGCTGCGGACCGGTCAAAATGAATGTGACAATCGCTATGAAACCGCCAAACACATAGATGGTGCAATCCGCAAGGATCTCGGGTAAACTTGCCATATTGAATTTTCCAAAGAAGGAAATATTGAACAGAATTATCAATGTGTAAATACCAAAAATGCAGGTAACAACAGTCGACAAAATGTAGTATGGTTTTGAAATTTCCAAATTCAAAGCGTTTATCTTATACGGAAATATTCCAAAAATATGACATAATGTAAAGCACGGATGCATCAGTGATTGTAAATCCTTGGCTTGAAATAATCGCCTTTTTTCTGTTTGCGTCGAGGTTCTGCATGGTAATTTATTGACAAATTGAACATGATCAACGATTTGTCATGAGAAAACAGTAGAATAAATTATAAACAATAAATTATTAATTATTAATCCACTTTGTTATTAACATGTGTATAACCAAGAAAGTTCTTTTTCTAAGTATAATCTTTCGTCAGTTTTGGCTTTCTATGTACATCGATACTGAATTCTCGCCAATGTGCACTCTACGAATTTAATTTCGAAACTGTCGCAAAGTGCTGTCTTGTACAGTGACAACACAAGATAAAAGATATTTTGTTAGGCGTGATGTAACCATGGTATTCTTCGATCATCAATTATCATTTATATGTATATGAAGAAAGAATATATAATTGTACTTTGTATGTACCTGTCGATGACTAGCTTTTTACAATGCTTTCATAATATGTATCTATTTCTTTCCCTAAGGAAAGAAGTTCCATATAAGATATTTGACATCTTTTGCACGATCACATAATGTCAATTTAATATTCTTTGTTAGTTGGATATCAGTACACATTTCTGCACATTATATAATACTGTGTATCTTTTTTAATTATTATTAATTGTCCTTGTATCGCAAGAATGCGACGCATTTAGAAATTGTATCAAAATTAATAAGTACGTAGTAATGTTTCCCGCCATCTAAAAATAAAGCAAAGTATATAAACAATAGGTATTTTATTAATTGGAACACATTAATTAATTTTTTTTTAGATATTACTTACTGCTGCGAGAAGCTTTGCGTCTACATTGAGGCTCTTTGCCGAAAATATATTTTCGTGATGCAGTATTTGTAAAGAAAATAGTTGCAACTGCAATGTGAGATCATAAAATAACTAAATGTAAGAACGAAAAGATCAAATTGAAAAACTCAATTACATTCCAGTACAATCTAAATATGTTATTTTTATACACATATATGTGTAATTTGGTAAAGCACTTTTTACGCGCTTCTTTTCGTTTAAAGTCACGACACGTCACTTAATAAACGTCATTTATACATTTCTGGCCGTTTAGGAATAAAATCCTTTTAAACAACAAGAAATGTGTAACATATATTAGTTAGATTTAACAACATAAAGCACATATTTAGAATAATTTATAAACATAATTGTATTTTTACCTCTTTCTTAATCTGCTCATTATTGGTACTGTTGAGTGCGTCGTGAACGGTGGTGCTGATCTCTTGAGCTTGATTCTTGCCAGTCTCGCAGGCCCACATAAGTAATATTATATTTATAACGTAATATCCTATTGCCGTTAAAAGGGCGTCGACGAAGTATATATCAAAGTTAATATATATTCCATCTTTCCATCTTACTACACGGAAATACACTTGAAAAGTGACGTTACAAATGGACATAATTATAATAGCAAGGATTTGCAAACTGAAGATTATATTCAGCGTTTTTACAGTGTTGCTAACCATCAGGTGCCATTTCATCAGGATCTTCAATTCGGTTAGCAAAAATTGATTTCTCGACATATGGCAAATTGATCTGGAACCGCGAGGTTGTGTATCGTTTGTCATGAGAATTTGCATATACGCCAAATTGTCATTAATACTTTTGAAACAGGCCTTTAATACACAAACACAATTTATATACAACGTATTTATCTGAAATACCACTATGTAGAAGTACATTTCGAACAGTGCGACAATCCAATCACTCATTTTATAGTTAGATGTTCCATATAGAAATAGAGTTGTTTGCACAATTAAGAAGGTAAAACTTAAGATATCCTTCGCGTGAACTAATCTGGATAGCTTTTGATACGATTCCAAGGATAGCTTAGAAGAGACTTCTAATATAGTCTGTAGCAACTGCATTCGTGAACCACTCAAAATGTATGTGATGATCACTATGATACCGCAGAACATATTGTAAAAGATAGCTTCAATATTTCTGGTTATGTCTCCCAAATTGTATTTAGACATGATAACGTAGTAAATGAATACCACGTCAAAAGCACAGCAAGCACAGACAATAATGGTCGATATTATGTAGTGCGGTTTTGAAATCTCGAAGATCGAGGTATTAATCTTATATGGAAACATTCCGAGAATACGGCAAAACGTAAAGCAAGGGTACATTAAGGATTGGAAATCCGTAGCGTGGAATAAGAACCATCCTTTTCGCATCTTGCTCTTGGCATATCGTTGGATTTTCGAATTGAACATGATTAACAGAAATTCGTGGAAGAAAAATAATCAATATCATGATTTATAGCCTGAATGTTATTAATTAAAACACTTTAGGATTAATATCGATATGATTTAAGAAGTTCTTTTTTCTAAATACAATCTTCCAGTTCGTCTATTCGTAACAAGTATAAAAACTGATATGGACTCCGTTTCTACACCTGACGAATTTAAGTACACAACTATGAGCACATACTGCGACAAGTAGGGACAAAGGTACCGAAGTTTGTTAGTCATATAGTAACCATGGTATCCTTTGATTGACATTTATTGCTCTTGGAAATGGATTACCAGGAATATGTATAATTATTGTGACATATGTTTCCATGAATTATTATGTGCATATGTGACATAGGAAGCATAAATTTTGCCATATCCGCATAAACCAATGACTTTAAGATATGCATTAATAGATAATATATATATAATATAAATTATAAATATGTAAATACAAGATATTTCTTCTATTTTCATATAGAAAATTACAATTATATATCTACACATTTAACAATAAAGTTTATAATCTCTACAAATTCTTACAGTATTGAAAATAATAATATGGTATTCAATAATAACTTATATTAGCTGGCTTATTTATATTAACTTGGTATTCAATTTGTCGTAATTTTAATGTAAGAACAATCAGAAAGTTAGATTATATGAATTGTATCGGTTATTTATGAAGTACATATAACTTTACATGGTGTACGTAAACTTTGCGTGATAATAATTTATTAATAATGACAAAAATAATATTGTTAATTTTGAAATACACTTTTTATGTGATTATATACTTGTTACTCAATTAGATTATCTAACACTAGTTGTTGTATTTCCGTCACAAGAATGCGACATATTTAAGAATTGTATCAATATTAATAGATACGTAGTAATATTACCCACTATCTGAAAGTAAAACAAAAATGTAATAGGTATTTCATTTTCGATAAGTTAATTGAAATAAATAATTTGTTACTTACTACTGTAAGAAGCGTTGCATCGACAGTGAGACCTTTCGTCGAAAATGTATTTTTACAATGTAGTGTTTGTAACGAAAATAAATGCAACTGCAATGTTAGATTACAAAATAATTAAATACAGGAAGCTAGAATTAATAAACGTTAAATCGATTGAATCAATTTAATGTTTAAAAAATTATATTAGTCCTGTATATTTTTGGAACATTTATAATATATAGACAAAATTACATTATTACCTCGTTTTTTATTTGCTCGTCATTGGTGCTGTTAAGTAGATCGTGAATAGTGATAACGATTTCTTGGGCCTGATTCTTACCAGTCTCGCAGGCCCATACAACTAGTGTTATTTTAAAAATGTTAGATGCCATACTCACTAAAAACACATCAAGCAGCTCTTTATTCAAACTAAAGAACACTCCATCTTGCCATCGAACTATGTGGAAATACAATCCAAAAGTGATAATAATAATGGTTACGGTTACAGTAGCCAGGAGTTGCGGACTGAAGATTATATTTAGCATTTGTACTGTGTCGCTAACCATTAGATGTTGCTTTTTTAAGGTTTTGAGTTCAATCAACAAAAATTGATTTCTTTGCACGAGACAAATGAAGCTAGGAGCAGGTTGCTTTACATCGTTTTTCATAACGTTTGGTACATGTGCCAAATTGTCATTAATTCTCTTGAAACAGGCTTTTAATACACAAACGCAGTTTACGTACAACATAGTAATCTGGAATCCCAGCAAGCTGAGGTATATTGAGAATACTACTATCAGAACACTTATACAGTCCAGTTGAAGCATCTGTATTTTAGTGCAACTTATATATATATGTATTACGTGGAGGATAATGCCAATT